ATTTACAAATTCTTTAAAATTCAAATAATAACCTTTGTAACTCCCTTAAAAAATTCTCAAAATTCAACAGATCTTTCTTCCTTCATTCATCTTCGTCTCATTTTCGTTTGATACACATCTGACCATCCCGAGTCTTTCTGCTATCAATCAATCTAACGGCAAAAATACTTTTAGTATCTACAACGTATTTTACTCTTTGATAAATTATAGTGCCTAATTTGAGTTCGGAATTCCAACCTTTTTAAAATTTATTACAATATTAAACATATCTATAAGGCCATTTAAGGTCATCGGCACCTTATTTTTGCCAATCATTTATTTCTTCGCTCCATTTACATTTAAACAAATCAAAAAGCATGTATTTTGTTTACTATTATGTCTGAATGGATGGTCATAAGATCATAATGAGAATTGATCTATCATGACATTAATAGCACTAATGCCTTGTTATCTAGCTCACAAATATGGATACAGTTGGACTTAAAATGTATTAATTAGAATTTTCTTTTATTATAGCCATAAAAATTCATTTCTAGATTTATGATTGCAGCGATAAGCAATTGCTCAGCTATTCTGAGTCTGTTTTTTTGGGGAGAAGTTGAGGAAATTTCTGACTGACTAAGGAGATTTATTTAATGACACTTTATCCACTTTTCCAAAATCATCTCGCACATACAAAGATTATAATAGAAAAAATAGCTTAACAATTTCAATCTCTTCTTCTTCATTCCATTTCTCATTTCTCATCAAAAGAAATTCTTCTATTAGCTTATTTCCTTTTATACTCTCTCCAATTTTGAAGCATATAATGAAAGGGGAAAATGTAAGCGCAAAACCAAATCACATAATAAAGAATAAAATTACATTCGGTCTCTATCATACGTGTGTGTATGTCGAAGGCAAATTAAATCCGATTGCTAGTGCCTTTGCACAAAAATAAAAGAAGTAAATAAGAGAAAAGAAATTAAATAAATTGTAAAGATGAAATGAAGTAAGGCGAAAAAGTAGATGAAAGGTCAGAGTGGGTAGAGTGATTGTAGCGCAATTGTAATGGTAATAATGATGGTGGTGATATATTATTATTGTTGCTAGATTAGGAATTGACAGTTATGTGATGTATTGAAAGAATTTGATTTGTTTGAAGCTTGATTCTTAAGTTTTAATTATAAATTTTGTACAGCTTGTCAAAGAAGAAAAGTCACAAATTTCGAAGAAAATAAGTTTACAAAAATTAAAAAAGGTTCGATTCCTTAACATATCTGTTAATTGATGATTTTGGGGGTTTAGTATTTTTTTTTCGAAAATTTAACTGAAATTTTGAATTTAAATGAACATTTATAAGGTTAGAATTGGACACACAAATCTAACACATATACATCTTATTGAAAAAACTTCTCCCCCATTATGCACATGCACCATTCCACTTACAGTCAGACATATATTTGAATGCACAAACAATCAAACAGCTATTTCAAAATTTAATATCAGTTACAAAACACTTGAATTAGACGAAAAAGATGAAGCAGATAAAACTTTAATCTTTTTAAAAGAAATTAATATTTACGACAAAATCTAACACTAAAACACATAATATCCTGTATTGCAGTTCGTATTTATAAAATTAAAAAACATGTAAAACATATTTGGAAAATGGTCTTAAAATTTATTAAAAAGGACCTTAATAAAGATAATTAAGAAGAAGAAGAACATTTTTAAGGTTTTCAAAATACAAGAATTTGTGAGGTTTTCAACCAGTTCATCATCAACTTCACTCAATGAAATCCCAAACTGCACAAACTCCTTTTCATTCATCATAAAAACAAACAAAACGGATCGCTTAATATGAAGCAGTAGTGAGAAATTGGATAAAGATAATTGACATCCACCAACATCATATTCATCCATCAGCAATGAATGTGAAATAATAAAGGAATAAAATAAAATAAAAAAACTAACCGCAAATGAAGTAACTCATGCGGGAAATTGGATCTGCACAGAGCTAGTGATGCGGTATATTGAAACATGTAAGATGAGGATATCTCAGTGGCATTATGTAAATATTTACTTTTTTGAGGTCCATTACATCCAATTCGTCGTCATCACCTCAATGAATATTTCATATTTCAAATCTGACGCCATAAATTCACGAATTATTTTTTTTTACGTTCGACAAATTGAGGCATTAACATTTTCTTTTTTATTAAAACCAACAAACTCGATTATTTCACTGACTATAAAGTCTACTTTTGGTAATTTTTTTAAAGTGCCAACATTGAAAATGTTTATTGGTAACTGTCAAGCTGGAACGGAGTGACATTAATTGTCGAGTTGAGTGAAATATAAAGGACAAATATCAAATAAAATGGCACTTTGATGGGGACTTTATAAAGTGCGAGAATCGAACACATTTAGGACACTTGATTATGGAATGTGCTTATGGGATTATGTGATAGTTGCATAACTCTATACTTGATAAGGTTAGGATTGATTATGTGAGCTCAAAAGTGCTTCTTTAACAAATTAGGTTGACTTTTCAACATCAACTTGAGGCTGAACTGCTGATGGATTGAAAAAAGCATTGAATAGTTTAATTTCGATGTCTTTAAGACTCACTGGATGGTTTCTCAGATATTTCATAGTCCAAACCTATTACAGGGCACATTAAGTTATGATTAAGTCAGTTTAAGTTTGGCTTTAGAAAAGATTCATATAATCCAGATACCCAGACACTTATAAAGTCTTGAAAAGAGCTAGTTGACATAACATCTTTCCTAAAAATCATCATATGTGACATAGAATATTTTTAGAGACATTTAGCGTGGACTAGATGAACATGAGCAGCACAGCAGCACCCTTTTAGATTCAAACAGTAATTAATCAACAAATGTATCAACATTCCATCCACAAAGCTACACGAGAACCTCAACTGCGGGTAAGAAGCAGACAGTTTCACATTTGCATGCATCTCAGATATCAAGTTTCACATTATATCTACCACCCTGCAGTTATTAAGTAAACAGCATCAACTGCTTCATTTAAATATCAAAGGGAAAAGTTATTTTCATCCTGAATGGAAAGTTCCTGTTCCTCAATAACAAATTGGTTCCATTGAACCTAAATTTACTCACATTCATGTGCGATTCATTATTCATTTCCATAGAGTTTTAAAAATAAAAATTTTCATTTGTGCTACAAAATTTGTTTTTCATCCGCATCTCTTTCTATTATTATGGCATGCATGTACATATGATATGGAAATAGAAAATGTATGTCAGAGCAATAAAGAGCATTTAGACTCATTTTTAATTGAATATCGACAACAATTTGTTCAAAAATATGTAACAAAAAGGGGGGAGGGTAAGGGACTGAGTAGACATAAATAAGCATTTTGTTGTTTGATGGAGGCTGACACCATAAATATACAAACTATATTTGTTCTTTTATTGTCACCATTTATGGCTGAATGCAACTCAATTATTGTCTATCACGTGCCATTTATGTAAAATTTTAATTTTTGTCTCATTTTGTTGTACTTAATGGATGGGCGTTTTGTCATTTTTTAACTGCTGTTGGATGTTGCTGCTTTGGCAGAGGTGTGGATTGAAATATGTTTTTTTTTTTTGAAATTTTAACGGTTTTTATAAGTTTTAAATTTTAACGGTTTTTGTAAGATTTGAATTTTAACGGTTTTGTAACATTTGAATTTTAACGGTTTTGTAAGATTTGAATTTTAACGGTTTTGTAAGATTTGAATTTAACGGTTTTACAGAATTGAATTCTAACGGTTTTGTAAAATTTGAATTTTAACAAATTTGTAGGATTTGAATTTTAACGGTTTTGTAAGATTTGAATTTTAACGTTTGTAAGATTTGAATTCTAACGGTTTTGTAAGATTTGAATTTTAACGTTTATAAGATTTGAATTTAAACAGTTTTGTAAGATTTGAATTTTAACGGTTTTATGTACAGATGTTAAAAATAAAGAAATTTTACCAACCCTGCTCCCCAAACAAACTCATGTATCATGTCATTCTGTGTAAATTGAGCTTTTATCTCTTCCCATTGAATTTAAAATTTCTGTTGTTTTCATATTTTATGTCTTTAATTTGTATTACATTTGATTACAAATCATGATAGTGCCGCAAGAAAGAATAGAAACATAAATTATTATACGGAAACAATTTAATCATCATTAAAAATGCCGATGGCAAAAAAATTAGGCAGAATCTGTTGACTCAAAAATAAACTCAACGCATATTTCAAGGAAATTTTTGATGCTATTGTTGTTGCGGATATCTGATGGAATCTCGGTTAATTAGGCAAAATTAATAAGAATGGATTTTAATGAAGCTTGTTCCTGGTTCGGATTTAAAAAAATTTTTTGAAAGGAATTAAACAAGATTCACCACGTGAAAGAGATCAATACAGTCGTAAAAGTTTATAACAACAGATCTCGGGAATGCTGCTGGTATTTCTAATTATACAAGTTTTATTGCTGGTAATATAAAATTTATGGATCATTATTTTAAGGTTTTTGGGCTTATGGATATTAAAATTATTGAGCACATGACAAAATTATTGGGAAATTTAATTGTGTAAGGTCAAAAACCCTGTAAAATTTTTTATGTGGTCCGTTCATAAATGATATATAATTTTTTGGATTACTTATCCGTCATTAAGTCTCAAGTTTGAGCTGCTTTATAGTTTGAGACTTCTCTACCTTCATTATGTCATTTTGTGCTGAATCTTGAATTTCGGACATCACAAGCGAATGAACCCATAATCCACATCATTAAACAAAACGTGTTAGAATTCAATCACACAAAGGAACTTCCAATTGTTTCCAATTTCTGCCAGAAGCCTCAACAAATTTTCTCACAGCTAATATTAATCTTTTTTTGCAATAATTCTTAATAATACTTCATGTACCGATAATACCTCGTAGCAAATTTCGTTACGCTACTGTTCTTTTCATCCTCTACTTATTTCTGTTCTTACATTTTAATCCTCTAGTTCTGCTCCATATTTAGCATTCAATATTTGAAAGATGATCGGTTGTAGTTGAAATTTATGCTTGAGTTGAATTTGTAATAATGGCATAACCTCAAATGAGGTGCTTTTTTGAAGGCTTACGTGAGCTTTGTTGTAACTGTAAGTGCTGATTGATTCTTTTGCTTTAAATAAATCTGTAATGAAGAAGTTTGAAGTTCAAGTGCATCTGAATTCTTATGTTTTAGTGCAAATTATTTAATTCGTCGCGCCTTGTTGCGCAGCTAATTGCTTGATGCGGAAAGAGAATTAATTTCAATTATTTCAGCATCATCTTTTCAGACGAATATTTTGTGTATTTTTTGTTTAATTAATTCTTGCCAAATTGGTGTAATTTAGCGACATTCATTTGCTGGAGAGACTTGAAAAAATATGCAAGTAAGAAAGTCACATTTGGATTGATTTTAGAGCGCATTTTGAAGAAACTACAAATTTAAAAATTTACTTATTTTTTTAAAAAAAATATAAATGACTAGTCAAAAGTCTATCCAGCCATCCATACTAAGCATCCTAAGCAACAATTTTAATTCTTTCCTACAATTTATTTTTAAAATAATTTTTTTGCTCATAAAAATCTTTCTTTTTGTTTTGGAAATTGAGGAAGCTCAAGCAGAATAAGAAGACTAAGAAGATGATGCTCATGTTGATGATGATGATGATGTTAATTGAAATTAATTATTTCCATTAAAATGTCTCATAATTATAATTACGAGTATGCTGAATTTAAAAAAATGTGATGAGCCATGGAGAATGATGTTGATGAGGAAGAGATAATGTATTAATTATCCATGTGCATAACTGATTTAAAGGGAATAAAGTGAATGTTTTACGCTGATTGACATTGAAACGCAAGCCTTAAAAAAATTGAGTTTTTACGTCGGTAATTTTTCTTTTATCATTCAAGGACTGCACACGTCAGTAAAATCAAGTGCAAGGCATGAAGTTCAAATAAAGTAACGAGCAAATAAAAATCAATGATATGAAAACTTTTAATTGCAGTTTATAGGCAATAAAAATTTGTTATCAATTAGCTGTGCTTTGATTTATTTTGAGTTTTGTTAGCAAAATTGCTGATTTTAATCTACTAATAAAGTACATGAGCTAGTAAGTGATTTATAATTTGAATTTAATTGAATTAAGTTGGTTTGGTTGTCAAGTTTTGAAGTTTTTTAAATGCCACTTTGGGGCCGTTTACTTATGATGTCCAAGGAGGGGGGGGGGGGGGGGGGGGGGGGTCAGCAAGAAAAGTACAATCGAAATTTCAGGTAATCCATTATTCTTTTTTGAAAAATGCCCGTAATTTCGGCCGTCATAAGTGAACGACCCCTTAGTTAAGTGCTTAATCTACACTTTTATTCGTATTTACTAAGTTGTAGTTATGTTCCACATATTTTATGATATTTACTTTTCTAGAATGATCGACATTAGTCACATTGTGGATATTACTAACTGTTATATCTATAGGATTCGAACCCTCTAATATGCATGAACAAGTTTAAACAACAATCTCATTCTAATCCCAATAAACCATCCAACAACCTTATCATCACATCTAAATCCAATATTACAAAGTCCATTATCATACTTGACGAAACTCTAATCAAATTCCCAGCACGAATGAATGTTTTTAAAATATGAAAGTTCATAACAATAAGTGGAATTTGAAAAAATAAGATAAAGGTCTCTTTTGAATCCCTTTTTACATTTGCATATATTGTCATCACATCCATTAGCATTCATTTTTAAAAACTTTTTCTTTTTTTTTGTGTTGATTTGAGTCAAACAAGCAATTTGTCGGAGATAAAAAAAGTTTTATTTTCTATTGTCAGAAATATATTAATGGTAATTTTTACTTTTAAATATGAGGAAATAAAATATGGAATCATAAAAAAATTAGGCGAAAGCCGAATGTGTGTTTGACATATAGGTTTATCTATTTTTAAGGATTTGTTTATGATAAATTAGGGAAATATCGAGAGTATTTTTAGAAAATTGTAAGAATTTATAAGTTTTGTAATTAATAAACAAAATGCACAATTTCGACAGCAAGTAGGAAGCTAATTTCTTTGAAGATTGAAGTCAGAGAAGGTTCGAATCCTAAACAAACCAGAAATTAATTGATCAGATTTTTGAATGAATTGAATGAATTCATTTTAATAAATTGTTCCTTCAATGTTTTAACTTTTTTTACCACACTTTTCTTAATTTCTCCCACAAAGCTTCTTTTTGCCACTCCAGCTCTTCCCAAACATTTCACATTATTATTACTATTTCTCATTCCACATTCCCCCATACGTCAAAATTACCATAATAGCGCATCGATCTTTTCAAAAAGAAATAAAATACAAAATACGAAATCAAAACCACTCAATCGCTTGTTTATTTACATCCTTCTTCTTGTCTTCCTCTCGTCTCTCTCTCTCACTGACCCAATTTCCCACATCAACGCACACATATGGATCGAAAATGCATTTTATTCTTCACACTTTATATGTAAATGCTCAGCTGATTAATAAATAAAACAAATCTCTTTTTGTTGTTATTAAAATGTTGATTGAAAAGTCATTAAGATGTTCGATGCATTATTGGTCTCTGTGATGTATCAAAATTGTGAAAAGAGAAAGATCTAATAAGATAACGAATGGATGTGAAAGAGGAAATAAAAATAAAAAACTTTCACGTGACTTTTTATGATAAACAGAATTATTGGGAAGAAAAAAGTCATGCTTGAGAGTGAAAATGTTTGATCAATTAATTTTTATATTTTGTTTTTTCGGTGTCGCCTCGTGTCGCTCACAATTTTTGGTGCACCGCAATTTCCTGGTGCGAGATCTTTGACCCAAACATTTCAACAGTTGATTGGAAAAATTTCTCAATAATTTTCATTATTTTTTAAAAAACTTGATTTGGAATGAACCGAAACAGTTTGACGAATTTTCTCAAGATTATTTAATTAAAGCTATTACGGAACTAGTCGCTAATGAAGAACTAAGAGCGTAGTGAATTTTGTTAATTAAGTTTGGACGCTTGAGAACCGTAAGATGCATTTTTTGTGTTGTTGAATATTTTTTTTTGTTTCATAAATTAAGACTGTGATGTAAATGGGCATAGCAGGTTTGGTTGGGACTTTGTGAGTGCTTTGGCTTGAAAGATTCGAAGTTGTAAATTCTATCAAACTTAAATATGATTTATGTTTGCTGAAGTCTTAGTGTAGATTTTAAAAATTTTAAAAAATATTTCTCGTCTAGGGTTCAAATCCCATCTCTGTCAAAGGACTCTAAAATCCAATTTTCAAATAGGTATCGATATTTTTTTTTGCAATTTTTTCTAAAATCAATTAGATTGCCTTAAATATCCTCGATAATTCCAAAGTCAAATGTTATAACCTGCCATTTACACGTGTGGTCGACTCGTATCAATGCGTGACTGTTTGTTTGCACACAGAAGCACTCATAAAGAAATATATTGACATTGTGCATAAATTACTTAATAACTTATATAAGTGCACGAAAGCGAAAATGTCAATGTGGATGGAAGTGACTCCGTTGGAGCTGAAAAATTATCTCATAAAGACAGGAAATTTCTTTCATTATTTCTCTTTTTGTATAAGAAAAAAAAAATTAAATTAATATCTAGCCACTTGCTCTATGCCTATCTATGGAACTCGTGCTTCTCAAAACCTCATCCAAGGGTGTGGAAGCATAAATATCAATTCCAACTTCCTGCATCCAATACACACTTTATCACACGACATTCATCGTAGTTCGCCGACCTCTTTCCACTCTCAATTCATAGTGATTTAATTAAAGTGAAATGCTAAGCAGTTAACATATATATCCAGCAGCTCAATATGGGAAAAAAATTATGTTTTTCTTGTCTCTTTCACTCGATTCCGATTCAATTTTTCTTTCATTTTTTATCTGCATAACTCGATCATTTCAACTACTTTGCCGCTAGCTAGTCATGCATACAAGTTATTTTCTTAAACATTCAATCAATAATTTATGTTGTGGCTACTGCTTTTTGTTTTAATACTGCAGAGTCTCATGCATGCATTACTTTTTTTTATTAAATTAAATTTCTTCTTATCGAAATGAATTTAATGACTGAGGGGTATGAACAGTTGAGTTAATTGAGAGATTGTATGAGGAATGCATGGGAATGATTGAAGGAGCAATCTCGAGTGACTCTCAAATTCAAGAAAAAAAATCATATTTGCTGAGATCAGAACCGGTGCCTTTGCTACAAAAAAAAAACCATGCGATACTAAAGTAGTTGATCAATATTATAGGAAATGAACCTGAACTTTGATAGAATTTTCCAAGACTTCAATAAATTTTCGCTTTTAAAAACTTAGCTTAAACTCAATCTTAAACCACTTCCAAATAATTAAAAAAACCTTCTTCATCCAACAACTTAACTTCCAATTGTTTCACAACAGATGTTTTTAATCTCAAAAATGAAACTTTCATTCATCAAAGAATAGAATAGAAACAATTATGCAACAGCAGACATGAGAAAATCTCAAAAAATTCTTTACTTATTCTTTTTTGTTCATTTTCATCGATCGCATGAACTAGATTGAGTTGCTATGCATGACGGCTTCGTTGGGCTGATGAAAAATGTACATAAACTATATTCAAATACTTGTGAAGTCGTGAAAATATTTCAAAATATTTCTTCCCAAAGAGATTTGTGTTTATTTAAATGCCGGTGATTTGATTCCTGCTATAAAAATATTAAAGTCAATCTCATGCAGATTTTTTGTTCATGCTGAGAATTTTCATTGTGATGTATCGATGTGTTTATGTGATTTTGAAATTTTAATTACCGCCGCTTTTGCTATGATGATTATGTTAGTATAATAAAAGCTGTAGTAAAATTCAATAAGTAACACAATAAAAAAATATAGAGAAGATTTCCTACGAGCTTATTGTCGGTTACTCAATAGATCGTGATAGAATGAAGTTTGGTGAGAAAGATAAGTCAGAATAATCTACGAATGTAGCGCTTTTTTGGGTAACGAAAAACAATTTCTCGGGGTCAAAACTTTGAATCCTCTCGAAAATAAAATTGAAATTTTTCAACGATTTCTTGAAATTTAAATTTTTTTTTGAAATTTTTTTTCTCACCTCAAAAAGTTTTTGATCAATAATTTTTTAATTTGACTGACTTGAGATGATTATCAGCTAAAATATAGATCATCTTAATGGCAAGCGTCTAATAACATACATTTGCAAGCTGTCTGTCGAAGAATCAGCTAGAATTTCAGCATAATTTATCATTTAACCTACTCATACTAGCAATTTAGGTTTGTCTGACATTGATTGCGCCACATGAGCAAACATAACGTCAAAAGTCATAAAAACGCGGACAACCAATATTGCAAAATCAGGCGTATTAAGTCACACAATCTGTATGACTTGTAAAAATTATATGCAATAAAAATCAAATATAACAAAGCTTTTTGTTCAAATTTCTTCTTTTATGAATAGTTTGTGTTCGAATTCTCACATCAAAAAAAAAAATTGTGTTCAATTTGCGTCATTTCTCTCACATGAATTGTAATAAAAATAGTTTAGATCTTATGTACTCACCACAGCAGTCAAGAAAGCCTTCAACACGACTTGGAAAAGGAAAAACATTGCCACTGTTTCCTGCTCTTGACATCTCCATGTTTCCTTTTATTTTTGCTTATCTATTTTTTTGCAATTTCAACTTCAACTCTTCTCCACAAATTTCATTAACCTCTCACACAAATCACTTTTTCTTCTGAGATTCCTCTTCTTTTTCGCTTTAATTTACACTTTCAAACATGATGATTTCCATGTACATCTGTAATCTGCTAGTAGAGAAAGAAAAGAAAAGAAGAAAAAACTTGTAAGTTTTGTTTTGATTATATTCGAATGTATGTTATATACAGAAACTGTTTGCGTTATTGAGAAATTAATGGATTTTTTATTGAAAACATCCTCCATAAGAATTTGTATACAAAAAGCAAATTGTTGAAAATATGTTACAATAACAAGGTTGGATGGGGGTTCTTAAAATAATTTTAGAGCGATTGAGTGTTGGAAATAATTTTTTTAATGATTTAATTTTAGACATTTGAGACTTTATTAAGAGAGTTATGCAAAATTAATCAAAATTGTAAGCAGTAGGATTAGCTTAATAGTTATGATACGGAAGGCAAAAAGGTTCAAATCCTTAATTTTAAAAATAGATTGGAATATTGATTACAACGCTTTTTTTTCTTTTGAAATAAAATCGGTTTTTTGCAAAAATTTATTCTTTGACAGGAGAAGCTTAGTCAGAAATCTAGCAGTTCCTCTATTACTTAGATTCCAGACAAGCAAATATATCTCTATTTCCCGATACCCGCATTTATGAACCCCCCAAAAAATTTAACAACATAGCTACAGAAATTTAATTCAAGAGCAGAATCGCTTCTTTCTCATCCTTTCTTCTTCATCATCATCTACTACATCAACTTATACAGTATGAAAAACTTTTCATTCATACAATTTGTACTTGATATAAGTAGTCTGTTGAGAACTTCTTGTTTCATTTTTCATTCATCTCATTACTAAGCCGTCTGTTTTGTTCTATCTATCTGTTGATGATGATTATGTATTATGTAATTAAGCAGCTTTCGTTTTTCATTTTCATTTTGCACATTCTATCCATGAGAGACGTTCACATTGTTGAGTTTTGAAGTTTGGAATTGTTATGTGAAGAGAGAAATTCTTATAGGACATGATACAATGTCTCAGCATTCCAGATTTTAATGTATGTGTATTATTACAAGCATAATTTGCTACTTAGATTGTTATTTTCGGTTGCTAATGTCGTTCTCAAGTTGTTATAAAATGTAATTTATTTTTTAATTCTGTGCGAAATTGCTAGAAATCTCATTGCTCAATTTCTCATGCTGGTTAATGAACTCAGTTAGAAGATTTCTATCAAAAAAATAACATGGAACTAGGAGATGAATACACTTTAAATGATGATAAATATTTTATACTATAATTTAGACATCATTAAAGTGTTTCAGAACCTTATAAAGCAATATCCGCGAAGGGCAGTGTTAGCAACAATGGCGAAAATTGTGGAAACAAAATAAGAATTAAGAACCTTTCAAGCTACAATAAATTTAATATTATTTGTGATGCCAAACACTTTTCTGCTTTATTTTTATTTTATCAGAATCGATCGATGCCTCATACGTGATTTGAAATTGCAACAAAAATATTTTTACGCTATATCCACGCTCGTTGAAAGTAAAGTGAAATTATATCATGCATGGCATACATAAAAATACTTTTGAGCACGTTTTTTTGAAAAATGAATGAGTTTTATTGTTTGATTTGGAGGCTCAGCTTTGGCAAATTGATTTTTAAACTCATAAATCAATGAACAATAGATTTGAAACAATTTTTTGGAAGTGCTAAAATTTTTCAATTTTTTAAAAGCTATAAAAATGCTTAAAGAAAGTTGCAAAAAAGTTGAATTATTATGTTAAATATTTTAAGAGGGTCCCGTTGATTACTTAAGCTTAAAAATGCGCTCTAGACCCCTATAACCCACCCAAATCCCCAACAATTACACTATACATCATGATGAATAATAAATAAATTGAATGTCGATCGCATGAAATTTCTGCATGTAATCACACACAAAAAACAAGCAAGAGATAATAAACCAATTTAAACCGTGCACAAATTGAATTTCTTCCTTTCTGTTTCCACTTTTTTGTTCATTCATTATTGCTATGAAAGATATTTATTTCCAGATTACGGCCTTATAATGCATGTTATGAGAAACCGGTGCTCTTTAGAAAATAAATAAATAATAATTGTAATCGTAATTTTTTATTTGCACAGCTTGTAAAAGCTATGATTGAGTGAATGAATGAGAATGTAATTGATTTAGTTGCTGTTATCAGCTGTTAATGATCTTGTGTGAAGGGGAAAATTAAATTAAATTGGATAATAAAAGTTTTTTGCAAGATTCAAGTTGGATTTTCACGCTTTTAAGTGCTGTTTTCTATGTTATTAAGTTTTTGTATCTGATAATTTTCGTAATGAAGCTTAAGTTTAAATTTTAAATGAGTTTTGATAAATTTTCCTTATTTTAATTTAAACCGAATTTTTAAACTTAAATTCTACTTAAAAATTTTAAAATGGCGAATTTCCTCACCTCAAAAAGTTTTATACTCTAAAATCAGACTGAGATCATTTATTTTAATTTGTTTTGAACACTTTCTAGTTCCAAAAAGTGGCAGAATTATCGCAGATAAACATTTGGCAAGACTACTCTGTAGCTAACTTCGAAATTCATTAAAATGTTAAAAATTTCAAAAATCAAACTAGAAATGAGAAACTACAATTACTTTCGCAAATAATAAAACTTTTCCCACTTCAAACTATGAACTTTTAATCTTGAAAAATCAAGTTAACAAGTGATTGAAAAGTACATGAGAATTACAGCACACTTTTCCAACTTTCAGAAAGCTAATTGCATTAAATTCACTTAAATGCTGTACAATGTAAGTTTTTTCTACTACCCCGGTTGTGAGATTATGAACAAGTGGCAATTATCCTTGAGGCACGATAAAATCTAACATTGTATTAGGTCAGTTGTAAATGGAAGGAAAAATAACAGAAGGGACTTGAATAAAAAAAATATTTAATTGCCTTTGAATTCATTTATTCAATTTCATATTTTTCTTTTCAACCATTTGACGTCTCTTGTGTCATAGAATAATAGTAAGATCCCATTAGCAATCAATATAAAAGCAACTTCCGACAAATTCAAGTGGCAATAGGCATTGGGAATGGAAGAAGCATGAGAAAGAAGAATGAAATTTTTGTTTACATCTTTTCCGTTCATTCGACTTTCAATCATATTTTTATTTTGGAATGTTTCAATTCATTTTCGGGTAGCATTTTTGATTAAATTAATCAACATGCCAACATCATTTGTTCTTGGTCCGTTATGTTGGTTTGGCAGGGGATAGAAACTTGACTAAGGTCAAGAAACTTTATTTTTAAAAAAAAGTGAAATTTTCAAGTCACAGGGTATGAAACTATGAAAACAAAGGGCGTGAAACTATGCAAATTTTTTAATCAAAGGGCATGCAACTAAATAAAGACCAGCCAACTCCCAAATGCCACACCCCTTGGGTCAATAGAAATTAATTCTAATAAGAAAGAAATTGAAAATAGCAAAAAAGAGAAAAAATCCAAAACTGAAAATGACTAAGTCACTGTGGGAAATTGCCAGATGTTGATTGGGACTTTCAAAATAGAATATTAGATTAAATGGACGAAGATATTAAGAAAGAAAGCGACTGACAGGCCGATGGTATGTTAATACACATCACGATTTGATACTTACAACTCCAAATGGATATTTTTTTCACCATATTTAGATTATCTCGATGATGGCATATTAAGTAAATGCTTTGGCTATTTATTTAAATATCTATACTCGATAATCATAAAAAGTTTATTAAATAGACACGAATAGAAGTGAGTGATTAAAAGTAATGACAATTTCACGTCATATATGAGCTGCTGTTTCTTATTCTTTTATTGTTAATTAGGTAGCTATTTAGAAATGAAGATTAATTAATACCGAATGTCATTTTCGATTTGAATGATTCTATGATTAAGTAAGGCGTAGTTAATGCTAATGGCAGGCACAGAAGTACAACCAGATATATGGAGAACAGGGAGTCAGTATAAATAATCAAAGAGTTGGCATAACGGTTAACATTTTAATTAAGGAAATCTCATGTCTAATGTGAGTAATTAAAATACTTTCAGCAAGTAAGTCATGAAGTCTCGAGTTCTTCTGCTTTTACTTTCATACTCTACAGCCTCACAATCATCATTCATCCAAATAACCCCCAAAAAATACTTGAATTTGGCTGAAGGAATTGTAAAAATACTAGATGAAGTTCTGATTGACAATATGGTGACAGTGAACGTCGTACCAGTCGTAAACAGTTATGAAAGCAAAGATTTTCGTGAAATATTCCTTCAAAGATTTATGAAAGATCCAAAAATTCGAGTTCGTCATCAAGAAGCTAAGTTTGTTAATGCAATGGGCACTGGATCTTCTCGAAGGACTTGTGTTGTGGATGTCAGGACTTATTCCGAATTTAAAATGTTTTTTGCAAGCATTTCCTCGGACAAATTTGTTTATCAAGGATATTACTTGATTGTGCTGACTAAAGGAGAAATTGATCGAATTCAAGACATTTTTGCGGATTTGTGGAAGTTGGAAATCTATAATGTGATTGTGATTTTTGAGGATGACTATGGACATGTTGCAGTGTTAACTTTCTTCCCATTTAGATCAAGCACCGACTGCTCAAATACTACTCCAGTTCTTATCAATGAATTTATCAATGGAACCTTTATTCGAGGATTGTCTAACATATTCTTAAACAAAATGGAAAATCTACAGCATTGTGAAATTCGTGTATCTACTTCAGCTAGGTCAACACCCTACATTTTCCTGAAAACCGGTCAGGATGGAATCACTCGATTTTATGGACGAGATTATGAATTAATTCTGGCATTATCGCAAGGAATGAATTTCAAAATCAATTTTACATATATCGGATATCATGGATACTCCCTTATCAATGGAACTATGACAGATGCATTAGGAGCTTTACAAAATAATGACGCTGACCTTGCCATTGCTGACTTCTGGTTGAAGCCATATCGTTTGAAATTTTTCGATGCATCATCATCTTACATATCTGAACAGCTTGCTTTCGTTTTTCCCACACCGGGAGAGTTAATATCGCTAGACAGGCTTCATTATCCACTAGAACTACCAATATGGCTTCTTTTGATTGTTTATTTACTGATTGGAACTGTAACAATCTTCTTGATTAATAGACAGTCACGAAATGTTCAACATTTTGTAATTGGAAGGAAGGTTAGGTACCCTTATTTTAATATTTGGATTGGAATATTAGGAACGACTCAACATCGATTGCCTGGAAGGAATTTTTCGAGATTCCTGCTCATGAATTTTCTGATTTTTACACTTGTTATGCGAGCAGCTTATCAAGGCAAAATGTATTACTTTTTGCAATCTAACATGAGATATCCAGAGCCTCAAAGTATTCAGGACATGATTGATAATGATTACGAGTTTGAATTCTTTCAGGGACATTTGGATTTGGTTGCTGATCTTAATAGATTTGAGAATAGGTGAGTCTTTGATCAATATAATATATTATCTGGAACTAATCCACTCAATTATTTGCAGGAGAATCACAAATGAAAATTTCGAGTACGTAAAGTGGTTCAGAAATGCAAAACCCAAAACTACAGTCATTGCTTCATATTCAAGCTACATTGACACTTTGATATTAGACACAACATTAAATCTACAGTTTTGTCGTGAAGTTTTCTTAATCATGCCTTCAGTCATATTGACTAGGAAGAACTTTTATCTACTTCAAGCAATTAATGACCACATTGATAGTCTAACCTCATCTGGACTAATTAAGTTTTGGCATGATAAGCAATTGTATGGATATCGTAAACGAAATGTTTCCGAAAAAGATCCGAAAGTACTGAATTTTGAACATTTGTCTGGATGCTTTCAATTATTAGGTGGGGGATGCTTGATAAGTCTTGTTGTATTTTTGATGGAGTTTGTTTTAATGAAATGGAAAAGAAGGATGAATGGAGGTATATTTAAAATGTTCTAAGATGTAAAGCCATACTTATTAATACTTTTAGGGAAAACTGTAAGGAAGGATGGAACGAAGGCTCACAAAAATTGCAGATACAGGATTATTTGTAGTAATTTGATCAACACAGGTGGATTTTGTCATTTTGTATGCGTTTGCTGTGCAATAGCTATCATGTTCATGGTTTATGTATTAATTTGGTGCTTTATATTCTAAATAAAAAATAAGTCAGTATAAGTATCTCCCTTAACAGCACCTTCTGGCCTTTAATCACACACTTAAACCCCTGACAACTCTAATACTTGAGAATTATAATAGCAATTTTCTCTAATAATCGCATGACTCTCTAATGGCGATATTTATTGATAAATATAACAAAAGTTAACAATAACATGCAAAATCTATTATATTTAAGGCTGCTGATACTGATTTACAATGCGATATGAATAAATTTTGCAAATATTTTGAACACATTTTTCGATTATAAGGAAAAATATTTTAGAAGTCGTTTAAAATTGACATTTATATTTTGCCATATTTTGTAGTGTCATTGCACGGTAGAATCTAGAATAATGAGTAATATGAAGGCGAATCTGCTAGTATGTCTCAAGATAAAAAACTTCTGTAGTCGAGTGGCTAGACAACAGAAGGAGGATTGATGTGAATACGTGGGTTCGATTCCCATCAAAAACCAAATTCTCAAATCTAAAAAGTATTGAAAATCATTAATAAACAATCTCCAAAGAATTCCAACAATTCCGTATCACAACTTGCCATTTTCAACAGCTTCAAATTAAAATACATTAGATAAGCAAAATACAACTTAATAAGATTAAATCAGAAATCCCATTAAAATATGTTATAGATTAAATAAGAAGTTGTGGAAATTATATTTAAATATTTAATCTTCCTCCTCCCATTCAGTCATACCCTGCTACTTTAATATCAAAGAAATTTCTTGTAAACCCAATTTAAATGCCTTAATTGTCAATATTTTCATGGTAAACACTCAATTAGAAGAAAATAATCAGCTTTTATGAAAATAAACAGAAAATTTGAATAAATTTCCATTTTTTTGGTTTAAAAGTCTTTCAGAAGCAGTCTTAAGGCAAGTCTTAAATTGTAAAAACCTCCATAAAAAGTTTTAAATCCTCACTCGCGAAAATGCCGTGGTTGTTATTCTCAATGTGGATATTTTATTTGCAAAACTCATCAAAATGTTTCAGCACATCAAATATAGACATTGTTTTATGCAAATTTCTTTCAACCTTGCCGAAGCAAAATAATCTTAAAATGATTAATGTAATACTTGGAGATGAGATGGATTTTGCCGAGTGTCTACACAAAATTGATCATCCAATTATATTGGAGACTATAAACGATTTAAAAGACATTAAGTACAGGCGAAGTTTGAATTATTTATTCGTGAGCGGTGCTGGAGATTTGCGGAAATTTCAACAAAAATTCTCATCGAAATTGTTTCATAATCGTGGATATTATGTAATGATTATGCTAGCGATGGATGTTGAAATTGAGGAGTTCTTCAAGTGGTTTTGGATGAATCAGATATTAAATGTTAATTTACTTTATAGTGGACTGGGTATGGACATATTTTGGTTACTACTTTGCTGCCTAAATTAGGTTTCTTGGATATACTCTAGCTTATGGTTAACACATACCCAAGAACCCAAATTTCTGTTCCATACCCAGTCCATCTTCACCAAAACAATATTTTTCAGTTTTTACGTATTTTCCATTCACTTCATCGGAATGTGGAAGCGTACAACCGCAAATTATTGGCAATTTCATTAATAATTCACACCCATCATCATCATTTGCTCATTTCTTTCCGGTCAAAACAGAAAACTTAAAAAATTGCGCGGTTAGAATTGCAACATCAAAGGTGTCGCCACCTTATGTACATGTAAAAATGACTATAAATGGCACATTATCACAAATTTATGGCCGAGATATAAGTCTTATCAACACACTATCAGAAATAATAAACTTTAAGGTTGATTATGTCTACATTGGTGGTGAAGGTGCTCTATACGAAGATGGAAATGCTGACGGTCCGTTCAAATTACTTCTCGATAACGAAGCTGATCTAATTGTTGGTGATTATTGGCTTATGATGTCTCGAATAAAGTTTGTTGATTGTTCTATACCGTACATCACATCACCAACTGCTTTCATCATACCGCCAAATACCCCAATTTCTTCATTTGAGATCTTGATAATGCCATTTGATTACATAACATGGATTTTTCTGGCTCTAATGATCTTAATTAGCACAATTCTCATATGTGGGATGAAAAACATGCCAAAAACAATTCAAATTTATATTTTTGGAATGTCATCGAGTGACCCATATCTGAATATAATCAGAGCAATTCTCGGTGGAACTCAGAGAATTTTACCACAGAATAATTTTAGTCGAATATTGCTGATGAAGCTTTTGTTGTTTAGTCTTGTTATGAGGACATTGTATCATGCTAAATTTTATCATTTATTAAATTCCAATATGGTTCATAAGCCTATGGAGACGATTGATGAGCTTATCGAGAATAAATTTGATTTGTATTGTCAAGAGGCAATGAAAGATTTGATGGTGTTTAATAGATTTGAGGGAAGGTAAGAGTGACTATTCGATTTTACACTTGCTAAGCTTATTACTTCCTTTTTGACTTCACTGTCATTACGAATCATTCATAGACGTGATCTAAATCACGAAACTAGCTCAAAAATTCCCACAATAACCTCAAAATTTCCATCAATTTCATTTACAGACTAAAGCTAGTTACATTTGAAGATCGCGTCAAGCTAATACACAAGGTGCACGATCCGTCATTCAAAGGAACATTCCCAAGGTCCCTTAAGACCATCCAATACCACAACCAATTAAACTTCAACACATCAAAAGTGTTTAATATTTTAAAAGAAAGATTTTTGACAGTTCCCGTCGTCATTTATACAAGACGAAATTTTTACTTGAATGCTGAAATCAACAAAAACATTCGACGACTTCAAACGGCTGGCATTATTGAATATTGGCATTCATTGATGGTGGATAAAAGATTTATCGACATAAAATCGGAGGATGGGCCGAAACAATTGAAAATGAGCCATTTGAAAAGCAGCTTTGGTATTTTAATAATTGGATTAAGTTTGGCTTTTATGGCGTTTGCTTTTGAGAAATTGAGGAAGTTTTGTGGACATTGAATATTAATTTGATGTTGACAGGATATCAACTGGATATATTTGATTTATTGACCATATGAATATTTAAATTGCAGATTTGAATTTATTGATTTTTCATGTAAATGACATTCTAATCCAGACTATAGCTTCTTGTTAATAATTAATAAAGTCACACGTTTATCAATTAAATATAATTAGTATGAATATGTTCTTAAACATATTTATAGTCACATTTTGTTGTTCTAAGCTTTTTTTCATCGGAAGTGATTTTCACCCTATTAATTTAATTATACATAATTTGAATCACTGTCGCCAACAATGGATCTTTAATTACAATTTCTTCATACTTCCTATTTCAGTGTTCATTTTTGTAGACAACGTTCAACATGCATTTAAGATTCTTGTCTATAATATTCCTGCATTTAAATCATTTAACTTGTTTTCCAATTGATTCTTCATCAAACTTTCAATTGCTATCGCAAGGACTTAAAATCATAGCAGATGAAATCATTGCAGAAAAGACAATCAACTTTAATATGGTCTACGTTGATTATCACAAGGAATCGAATAGCTTTCGTGACTCATTTATGAAACTGCTAATGACTGATTCTAAGTTTCGAGTTCGACAGCAGTTGATCGATCATGTAAAGCAGCTAGCAACTAAAACTCCGAGAAGATTCGCACTTATTGCAATCAGGAACTATCTGGACTTTAAAAAGCTTCATATGAAGTTAAATCAAGACAATTTTGACTATCAAGGACATTTCATATTGACACTGATTAATGGAAAAATTGATGAAATTCAGCAAATCTTTGATGACTTATGGAAATTGCAAATTCATAATGTGATCATGATTTTCGATGACTTTAATGGACATCTACAAGTTTTGACATTCTTTCCATTTCGATCAAGCTTCGACTGCTCAAATACAACTCCTGTTGTCATTAATGAATTTATCAATGGAACTTTTAGCCACAATTTGTCAAGCATTTATCAGCAAAGTATGAAAAATATGCAGCAATGTGAAGTCAAAGTAGCCACATCAAGCAATATGCCACCAAATATGTTTCTTAAAACCTTATATGACAAGAAGCAATTCTTTGGACGAGATTATGAGTTAATCAGCACATTGTCACAAAGCTTAAATTTTAGACTGAATTTTAGCTTCTTGTCTGATTTTGGATGCCTTTTTGAAGTTAATGGACATGAAGGTGTGATGAAAAATTTATTGAATAATAAATCAGACATGGCAATAGTCGATTGCTGGCTTAAAATTGATAGATTAAAAATATTTGATGCATCAACGACTTATTTCACTGAAAAAATTATTATAGCATTTCCAATGGAAGCTGGATTAAGTTCTTTTGAGAAATTGTTTTATCCATTGGGAAGTGACACTTGGCTACTGTTGTTGATCTTTTTGAGCATTGGAGTTACTTTCATTTTTGTGATACGCTTTTTATCAGAAAGAATCCAATACTTTGTTATTGGTGAAAATGTAAGACATCCTTACTTCAATATGTTTATAGGAATTATTGGACAAAATCATGAGCAAGTTCCAGTTAACAATTTCGCAAGATTTCTTCTTATGAATTTCATTCTATTTACTCTAGTCATTCGAACAGCTTATCAAGGAAAATTGTTTGAAATCATGCAGCTAGACATTAAGTATTCTGAGCCACAGACAATAATGGAAATGACTGAAAAAGGGTATAAATTTCATGTTTTGGACATTTTTTCAGAACTGATTCTCGATCGATCGAAATTTAGAATCATGTAAGTATCTTAACTCTGAAGTTTGAAAGTTTTGTGACTT